CGCGCACTCTTCGACACATTCTTCACTTCTTCTATTTTCATCATCTCTTCGGCGGTGATCTTCTTCTTGAGTGACAATCGCTTCGCACGACTCGTAGACCAGTGTTTGCGATGCGATTCAATGCCAATGCAGTAGTGATTGTCTCCCAAAACACACACCGTTTGCACAGTGAATGGCTTTTCGCCAAACCGCACATTCGGTCCCTTTTTACACAAACAGTTCACTATCGATATGAATCGATGTATTAAAAACTAAAAAGTTCTAAAACTTGGCGATAACATAAAAGTGCCACAAATAACGTTCATATTCTAAAACAATTTGAATGACAATTAAATTAATCAGTAATTGAATGGATGGGTGACTGCCGGCCAGACATCACACCTTCACTCCCGTCGCACTCTCTTCGCCTGTACGGCACCCCCGCCGCTGTCGTCCGTCCCCTCTTCGGACGATGAGCGCATCTGTTGGGCGGCGCCGCCACTCACGTGACTCGCGTCCGACTCCAGGCCCGACAGATTGGGGCCGCTGTCGGCTCCTCCGGAGCTGTCGACCGCCGACCCATCAATGGCTTCGTTGGACGAGTGGCCGGTTGTGGGCGCACTGGAGGGCGAGCTGTGCGGCGCCGCTGATGATGAAGAGCTCGAGCCCAGTGGTGAAGAGGCAGCGCTCGAGTCGCTGTCGATGGGCGCCGGCTGCTCGGCCACCGGTAGGACCGGCTGATCCGCTGGTGGGGGCGCACCGCCCGCCTCAGGCCAATGGACAGTCGTCTGGCCGTATAAACCAATTGCGGCGCTAAGCGTCTCATTGGCCGTCACTGCCATCACCGCCAGTACGCCCACCGCCTGCTGGCGGCGAACCTCGAGTTCATGGGCGGAGTCAATGGGTCCCAAATCGACGGCCAGGATATTGACGCCAACGCCGGCTGTGGTGACCAACGCGTCGACCAATTGATCGGACGGCCTGTGGAGACAAGTGGTGAGTGAGCGACAAGTGTTGGCTCGTGAGTGAGTGTGTGTTAGCCATCACTTACTCCTGCGGCTGAGTGTATGGGCGAAGACACTGGACATAAGCCATGGAGAGGGATATGAGTGGAAGCGGTGTCGACATTACTGGTGTTGCGGTGAGACTGTTGATGGGATGAAGTGATTGTCGGTGGCGTCGCGTTAGTAATGACTTGAGCAGAGAACCGGTGGCGCCCTTATGTCGTGACCTCATTGTATGAGAGCACAGGTAGTCGTCGTAGGGGTGAGCCAAGTGACAAACTATCGGTCAGTTTAAAGGGCACTCGTAATCAGCTGTGAATGCGAGTCAACACACAATCCGTGAGTGTATGCGAGACAACAACACATGCAGTGACGCCCTCTACGGGTCAACACATGTCTGCACAACAAACCACTCAATGTTATCGTGAATATCGCAGACAATTGTCGTCACGGTTTGAGTGCCAAACAACGGATCCCATCGATGGTTGTGCGCTGAAGAGCACCACAACACACACCACGCCATCACTAATGGAGAGCAACGGAGCGCTCGAAGCGAACGCCTCGTCGTCGCTGTTGTTCGCGGCGGCCGTCGGAGGCGGCGGACAACCAAACGGCGTCTCCTTTCAGGACTTCTTCGACGACCGGAGTATCGATAGTTTGGATCAACTAGTCTTCGACGGCAGTCACATGAGCGCCGCCGCCAGTCATGAGTTCACGAGTGGCTACGAGTTGGCGGCCAATGAGCGCCACCGCGACGGCCGCACCGATAGTACGCCACTCGATGGCCGTCTGACGGGTGATAACGGCAGCGACGACGAGGAGGAGGCGACGGATGAGCGCAACGACGGCAACGAGTCGTCCATCGGGTGTGACGTCCCCTTCGAGTACGTCATTCATGAGCACCAAAATGACAGGTATTTCGGTGGACACCGATCAGTGACACCACTCGTCGTCTTCGACACCAATCAAACGAGTGCTTTGATGGCCACCAATGAGTCGGCCGTTGATTGCCATCAATGGACCGCACGTTTGATGTGTTATTATTACACGCCTTATAGTAACCCATTATCTCTCCCACACGTCTCACCCACAGCTACATCCACCACACCATCAGCCAGGACTCGATCGCACTGCACATAAACCCGGGCACCGGTCCTATGCCTCGTCACCCGTCGCACGTGACGCTCACCATCGAGACGCGAGACGAGGCTTCGGGTCTCAAAGAGATCAAACGGTTCCGGTGTACGTACGAGGGGTGCGCGCGTACGTACAGCACCGCCGGCAACCTCAAGACCCACCAGAAGACCCACACCGGGGAGTATACGTTCGTCTGCTCGC